AGAGAAAACTTTTCTCTACAAAACTGCCGTTTTAGAAAAATGTTGCAAATCGTTTTTATGAAAATACAAAACATTTATTGTGAATTTTTGAAAAATACGAAAAAATAACCGATGCACTCCTATTTTAAACGGCTTTTTCGGTGTTTTCACGTTCATTTTCTATCTAAAAATAAACCGCTTAATATTAGTAGTAGTAGTCAAATGCTATTCTTTTTCTTTTTTAAGTTCACGGTCCCCAAAGGGTTAATCATATAATAATGTCCAGGAACTTCCAGTCAAGAAAAACGTACGCGTTTCATGACTGAAATTTCTGATCAGAGATTTCAGTCATGAATCAGACCAATGAGTGTCTGAGCTGATTCTTAATTCTTGTTACTTCAGCTCTGATTCTAATACTTTTTTTTTTCAGACCTACTCCTAATTTTTGTCTCTTATCGAAAGCTCCAATAAATCATAAATTGATTTTTGCAAAAATCTACCATGATTTTTGTAGCAGTTTTATACTCAATACTATTTAAACTAATTTCTACTGCTTTATCCTCCACTTAAGTTATCATGTACTCGCTCAAAGTATGGCGATGTTATATTTTTAACAATTATAAAAGTTGAAAAACTCTCTATTAAACTTCAAACGTGTAAATGTGATCTTGAATTCCTTCGCCTTTGCATAATCTATCGTCTTACACCTACAGTTGTTAAGATTAATCTATGGAAGAAACTAATAAAATCTACTCAAGAATATTCAACCTTTAAACATTTTTGTCTCAAGCAAAAATATGATAATAGACATAAAGATAGCATCAAGTTTGAAAATGAAATTAATAAATTACTAGATCACTTAAAATTAAAAATAACTTATTCTGATTTTGAGTTATTACGAAAATATTTAAACGAGAGATCTAAAAAAAGAACACAAAAAATTCATTAGTAGGCATCACAAGAAATTAGAGAAATTAAATCATGGACCTGTCAGTCAGAGTTATGAATTACTTCGATCAAAACTTGTTCACAATATTTCCTCATGTAATCATTCTCCAGCAGAAAAACGTTTATTATGTAGAAGATGTGATTTTTGCTATAAAAATAAAATTACAAACTTTATCGACTTTAAAACCGATATGGAATTAACTGCTTTTAAAATACAAAAGTATTGTCATCCCAATGTGTTATTTCGAATCGTAGAAGAACACTCTACGTACTTATCAGTCAAATGTCAAAGTCTTCTCTAATTAAACTTTGATCATCGGCATCAATACCGCTATATATACTTGTTCAATGATATTCAACCGGTATCTCTGGCATTATGATTGGCTCATTGGTTAATAAACAATTCAAAATATTTCGAATACCGTGCATATCTAACGTTTTAGACATAACAATGTATGACCAGTTCGGACAGCATTTGAACAGTTTTAGCTCAACTGCACGACCAGCTTCCTGCTCTTTCGAGTGCGAATCAAATGGTGTAGAGAAATTTAGATTATTTCTTTTCAGTCGAATTAATTCATGGACGTACTCATGTAAAGCGGTAGTTATTAGGTCTAAACATAAAATGTCTCGATTTTGTTGAGAATTGATTATCATATATTTCGAGAAAAAATAAGTATAATTGATATAAATTGATTCACGTCCACAATATCCACGAAGTGCCAATGAATTTGGTAATACGACAAAATGAATTTGAACGTTTTTCATCAATGTTAAGTATTCATTTAAATCGAACGGTGACTGCGTCAATGGATACCAGAGCTGGGCAAGTCAAGTCAAAATGACTTAAGTCAAGTCAAGTCAAGTCAAAAATGACTTGACTTGACTTGACCTCAGAAGTTTTTAATGACTCATGACTTGACTTGACTTGACTTGAAATTTTTTTTAAAAGACTTGACTTGACTTGTGACTTGGCATAAAAAATCAAGTCAAGTCATGCATATTTTTAAACCGTTTATGCAATCTAATTTTAAATAATAATTCATAATGATTTCATTAAAAATACGTTTGAGTTCTTTTTTAGAGTTTCTGAAAAATTGGTTTTCCAGAAAATCAGATCTTTAAGAGTCATCGACACGAATCGTTTTAGGGTATTTAGTACCTCACTGAGATCTATCGATCCATGTACAAATCATTGGAATCGGAAGGTTACAGCTCGAAAAGTTCCCTCGTAAGTGCTCGTGCTACGTGTGTATTATTTACGTGTGATTTGTTTTTGAACTATGTTAGACTCATTAGCGCATTGTCTTTCTGTATGATTATCTTTTGAAATACATCTGTTTTGGAAATACGAAAAACAAACATCGTACCTACACAAAATGCCGAAGCTCGTAGAAAACTTGTAACCTGCCCAGCTTCGCTGTGGGTATTTTTCTACGGAAAATAAAAATTCCAAGTCATGACTTGTAACTTGACTTGACTTGACTTGAGAAAAATTTTTATTACTCATGACTTGACTTGATTTGAGAAAATTTTTGATAACTTGACTTGACTTGTGACTTGGAAAACCCGTGACTTGCCCAGCTCTGATGGATACCAAAGTTCTTCAATGAAGTTTGATATTCATGATTTTGACATAACACTTCGAATTAACGCTTTCAAATCAATATTGCAGAGATTGTTGATAGCATCACTTATATTCATTTGTTGTAGTTGTAACGTATTTAAGATTGCTAGGAAAAATTTGGAAACGTCGGGAAGATCGATTTTTGATAGATGAACGAGTAGAATAAGCTTTGCTTCCGCTGTCGGTTCTTCCATTGATCGGCTCGCCACGAACCACCCTCACCCTCACCCCGTCACGAACAACGATTGTAATTCTCTTACTAAACTCGCTGGCCAAATCGTATTCGACTTATTTAACAAAAGATTGATTAAAATCGCTTTGCATAAAATTAATACTTGATCGGTCATTGTTACTGGTATTTTTACGGTCGGACTCGATGGACGGTGACGCACAAAATCTTCTAACTTAAATGATTCTCTAGTTGGATCAAACAATTTACCAATAAAATCATCGACGATATCATCATTGCTTCCTTCTACCGGGTTGCAACCTAAAAACGTTTGCGTTCAAAATTGAATTACGTTCTTTAACAACAACCTTTTAGTCCGATACATCCCGTTCTAGTTTGGAAGATACTACCCAAGCGTCAAAAAAAAATCTAGTATCGTTCGATTCATCTAGGTTACTAGATTTTTACTCGATTGCAGCTACTGTGTAACGACAGTGGAAATCTAGTAATTGGGCGATTACTAGATTTTTCATAGTTGCAACTGTTGATTTATCGCCCGATAATCGATCGATTTAGCTCGAGATGCACATGCAGACGCATCTAGTTAAAAGTCCCTTTTCCAACTAGTAATCTAGATGGCAACTAGTCGTGTATCGCCCGATTATAGACGAAATGTATCTAGATTTTTCTCATAGGTAATGTTTGCTTGGCTATAGTCATAGTTTCAACTTGAAAAACGATTTTTTGCAAAAAAAAATGCTTAGAATTTATGAGCATCGCTTCTTCTGAAAGAAATGAAGAATTTTTCAAGTCGAGTCTAATACAGTATGTCGGCATACAAAATCAAGTGTAATCAAAGAAATTGAAGTCCTTTTACCTCTCAAAAATATTTCTTTACGAAGTTAGGATTTTCTAAAGTTTTCGTGCATTTGGGCTTTCTAACTTTTTTCTATACTCTGTGACAGAGCAGCGATGGGCGAGTCACTTAAAGAATCATCTAGAAGTCTTTCCCCCTAAAAAGTTTCGAACTACTTTTAGTAGCATTCGATTCAGATTTGTTTGGGCTACAAAATGATATACCGCAATAAATTTTACCACCTTCAGAGATTCGGTTAGCCCCTGGAAAGCAACTAACTGATTCAGCAGAAACTTTTTAGGGGGAAAGACTTCTAGATGATTCCTTAAGTGGCTCGAGAATGTGACTCGCCCATCTCTGTGACAGAGAGAAATTTTTTTACAAAGCAGAGGCATACACAGAAAAGTGCTTTCTTCAGAGTGGATGTCTCTCAACCTCTAGGCTTCAATATTTTCCTGAAAACTCACAGAATGCGATACCTTGGTGCAAAGATGGAACCGAATCGATTGATCAACCAGCCAGCTTGGCGATAGCAGGACGCAGCTCGGTCGAGATGTTTTTTAGAAAATACCCCATTTTTTAACCTCAACCCTTTTCTCTCGCACAACGAAAGAATTATAGAGAATAAAGAAACCTGAATATACTATGCTGACTACCCGTGGAGTGGTTGCATCTCATTTTTTTGAACAAATATTTATTTACTTAAAATGGCAGTTATATCTTCATTTGTTGTATCAATTGGTTTCGTCATAGTGTCAATTCTTTTTGACAAAGAAAATGAATAATATTTAATGCCAAAAATATAGAACGAACTGTCCAGTAAATATAATTTATTACTTCCTTTGAAGTCTTTTTTATGTAAAAGCATAAAACAGCTTTATTTATGCCATAATAAAAAATTTCGTTGTTTGCTTGGGCAGGAAATATGCCGTTATTTAATATAGTCTTTGTTCTCTACATACGACTCCAACCTCTGAAACAGAAACTTTATAAATAAAGAACTTTTGTTATCAGTTCCGTTTTCTTTTCTTTACTTTAATATCAAACAAAAAATAAATTTCTATGCTGATAATATTGTCATGACCTCTTAAGAAAAAATAACGCAATAGGAAAAAAGTCCAATGTAATGAATCATCGTTTCTTCATGGCGTTTCTATCAATTTACCGTTTTATGAACATGATGAACATACGGAAGATAAAATCATAAGAAAAAAAAAATAAAGTGTATCCTAGAGAAGGTACTTGAAGCAAGTGCTTGGTAAGTACTTGGAAAAATTGACAAGTGTTTTCAAAATTTTCCATAAAAGCATTTGGTTCAAGGAAACATTGTTTTTGGTCTGTGGCGAAAGACTTTCCAGTTTGAGCAAAAACTCAAAATGGTTTTCAAAAAGAGTTAACCGAATCCTTTATATTTCGAAATCCAGCACATTTATCTTAATGTCGGTGAACTCTTATGCGGCGATTTCTATATAAGGAAAGAGTGAAAACGAAAAAGTTTCGATACGAGATCTTTCATAATAAAGTGTTTCTTAAGGTAATTGACACACTGATTACATCATGTTTTACCCGATCTCTTCGGGAACATAATGCTTTAATTCTGCTTTAGAAAAGTTATCTCTTTTCAGAAAAAGTTTTATAACTTCAGAACGAAAAGGACTTGAAAAGAAAAACTTATAAGCTACATCTAGATTTTGGTGGGAAATCAAATGGGATAGTTTTCATCGAAATATAAGTTTATTTTCTTCTTTTCGCGGCCCATTTGACTGATGCTTGATGGCTTGGCAACTGCCTCTTGAGCTCTCAAAAAGACATCATGAAGATAATATAGGTCGTTTCGGGATCAACAGGTAGCATGTAGCAACTTAAATATATGGATACGTGAGAAAAATTTAATGTATGATATCCTTACATAAAACCATAAAACAACTTTTATTTATGATAGAATAAAAATAACTCTTTTGTTTGCTTGGAGAGGAAATCTTATCGACTGTTGCGAATTCTAATGCCGTCATTTTCCGTGCTGTTCGTTAGCGTGGCTATGCGCTATTCTCAATACCGCATGTTCTGTACGATAGTGGATGCAGACAGAAGCCTGAACTGTAGTAGGCTGACCACCAAACGTGCAAAGAAATAAAGAAAAAGTATATGCTGCTTTACTTTGGATTTGAATTTCGTTTTCGTGTCACACACACTCTACCCGTAAAATTCTTACTTTCAAGAAAGATTAAATAATTTTAACAGGTTATAGTGCTTTAAGTCACTTGGAAATTGAGGATCAGTTGTTGAAAAATGGCAATTTTGTTGCTTCTCAAATATTCTCACTCACAGAACATGCAAAGCTTTGAAAAACAATCAAGATGATCTTATTCCACGATGTTCACCTTAAAAGATGACTGATCTATAGACGATACTGATTCATGTGCGATCGTATTCTTGAAATATACAAAGTGCGCATGGGAAGAAGCGAATCGTAGATGAGCGTTACTTGTGTACTTGTGTAAATAGTTGGATCTATAGTGCGAGACTATGTGTATATATCTATGAACATTGTAGATAATGAAGTACTTTTTGATTTTCTCATTATCTGTTTATTCTAGTCCTATAGAGAATGTCAACTTGTATAAGGAGAAAAACGTTTTCATTGTTTCGGCATGAAGCTTGACCCAGAAAGTTAATTTTCACATTTCCGACGAAACGGTGGATAACGGTCGTAGACTTTTTCGCCAAAATGAAATGAAACCGGATGATTTATATGCCAGTAGACAGCTATTGAAAGGTACTTTCGAAATATAAGAAGACTTCTTTATCAAATGAAGCAAAAAACATTTTCTCGTAGATATACTTTTCAAGACTGACAAAATCATACCATCATCGGGTCTTTCGAGCCGTTCTACTCGACTTTCACGAATTCCACCGGTCTTTCAGTATAATTTCCATAGACAGAGATTGCTTCTTATTTCGAATCATTCGGATGCGTAAAATATACAACTTGTTAATTGAGAATGTAAAACAACTAACAAAGTATTTCAGTAATGTTTTGGAAGCTGTAGTGAATTATTATTTTTCGGTTGAAACTTTTATTGCGTTCCCTTATGTTTCAGATGCAAGGCTGTATATAAATGAGATATAAACGTATCTATCCAGGTTGGAATTTTGTTGATGTCATTAAAAGGTATCTTGGATAGCAGCTGTCTGTTTGACTACTTTTGCACACAAAAATAAAGTAGCAGTTCTCAAACTTTTCATAAAAACTGACAAATCCTTAACTGGAAATAAAATTTAAAAATATTCAGCAAAAACTTTGGGAACAATAGATTCTCATGCATAGCTCTCTTTATATTGATTAGGGGTGGCACATTTTCTTTACTGGTGCGTTACTTTACTGAGTAAAGCAACGCTTTCAAATATCACCGTATGAGTGACGAACAATCGAAAATGTAGTGTTTTGTCACCTTCCGGACACAATGCGACTAAAGCGTTACTATATTATGCGTTACTAGTAACGAGTAACGCAAGCGTTGTTGCGTTGCTAGTAACTAGTAACGCAATGCATGATGGAAAATCAACCCTTTGTCCGAATAGCTTTATGCGCTGTAGCTTTGTCGGCACTTTCTTGTTTTGACTTAGACCAAATAGGTGTGAAAGTTATCATTCTACCAGCTCAAAATTTTCTTTTATCAAACTGAGACAATCTGATGACACTTTATACAGTAGTGGTCAAGACAAGCTCCAACAATTTTAAAAAACCATTGGCTTGAAAAATAGGTAAATATTTAGCTCATGTCATGAAAAATATACCATAGTTAAGACAGTTCAGATGACTGTATTCTGATCCCTCTAATTAACCACTGTTATATGACAAGTTGTTATTCTCAGAAACTTGTCTTACTCAGCCTCTAGAATGTATGACAATGGTAAAAAAAAGAAAAAGCAGGATAGTGCTTTTAAGTTTCGAATGATTAATGTAGTTATTGTGATGACGAGTTTTAGCAAAGTTGACTAGCACA